TATCTGCAGAGTTCCTCTATTTCTGACAGTTTCTCTGACAGCTCCTTCACATGTACAGCGGTTGAAACATCTGTTTCCGAATAAAACATCTGTATCCTAAATGGAAACAAATAGATACAATGTTTCAACCGCTGTGTACATGTGTTCCTTCTGTCAGAGAAACTGTCAGAAATAGCGGAGCTCTCTGCAGGGACACTTTTGCCGGCTGATCGGGAAAAATCCGATTCGCGCACCCGAAGTAGGCAAATATTCGGATTCGACGCGAATCAAATTTTTCGATTCGCTCATCTCTAATCTTCAGGTAAACGTTTTAGCTTGAGTGACCCAACTTCTGACAAAGACGTCTCTATAATCTTGGGAGCTTGTTAGTTTTTTTTTTCAGTAGAACCAAGTTAGTCTGAATTGTTCCTCTTGGTGCTGGAAAGAGACCATCAAGTCCTTTAGTGTCAAATCTTATCAATCTTGAATACTTTTTCACTGATTTTGAAAAAAAAAAAATCCCTCTGATACTAGGGATCTTCAGGTAAACTTTTTAGCTTGGGTGACCCAAACTCTGACAAGGATATCTCTATATTCCTGGGAGCTCATACATTTGATCCAGTAGAAACAGGTAGGTCTAAATTTTTCCTCTTGGTGTTGGAGAAGGTCCATCAAGTCCTCCATGTGTCTGATCTTACTAACTTTGAAAAGTTTTTCACTGACTTTGAAAAAAATCCCTTCGATACTTGGATGTCCCTGTGTAGACCTTTCTTCTCTTTAAATTAACGACCTTCAGGTAAACGTTAGCTTGGGTGACCCAACCTCTGACAAGGATATCTCTATATTCCTGGGAGCTCATACATTCGATCCAGTAGAAACAGGTCTAAATTTTTCCTCTTGGTGTTGGAGAAAGTCCATCAGGTCCTCCATGTGTCTGATCTTACTAAATTGGAAAAGTTTGTTACTGATTTTGGAAAAAATCCCTTCGATACTTGGACGTCCCTGTGTAGACCTTTCTTCTCTTTAAATTAACAACCTTCAGGTAAACTTTAGCTTGGGTGACCCAACCTCTGACAAGGACGTCTCTATATTCTTGGGAGCTCATACATTCGATCCAGTAGAAACAGGTAGGTCTAAAATTTCCTCTTGGTGTTGGAGAATGTCCGCAGGTCCTCCATTTCACTGATCTTACTAATTTTGAAAAGTTTGTCACTGACTTTGAAAAAAAAATCCCTTCGATACTTGGACGTCCCTGTGTAGACCCTTTTCTTCTCTTTAAATTCTGTACTTCTAGTTGGGCAAAGGCCTCCGTTCCGCTGCATATGGTAAGGTGGACATTAGCCAGGTTTCCATTATATACCTGCTGCGTCAGCACTTACAAACTTCAGCTGTGAATTTAGCCATTTGCCTTTACATCCACTTTACAAAAAAACGCCTTGTCTGTTTTTTCCAGTCTCTTCCCCAAACTAAATGAAGAATAAAAAAGTTTAGTTGAAAGAAATTGATTTCCATTTAATTAACAGTCAAACTTTTAATTACTTACCAAATCAAATAATTTGTTGTACCGGCATACTAGGCTTCAATGATAGAGGTAAAAGAAAAATGGAGTATTAATATGATGGAGGTTTGCTATACACTATAACCCATTAATGAGATCAAATATGTTGGGTGTTCCCTGCGCACATAACCAGGCCTATTCAATGATATGAAGACAGGTAACGATGTGCTAGATTCAGTAAATTGCATAAATTAGCTAAAAAAAGCATCTCTTTAAAAAAAAGGTACTCTTTTATTTAAGATAAAACATGTATAATTTACATTCTAACCCGTTAATGAGGTAAAATGCTTTCAATACGTTGGGCGTTCCCTGCGCACACAGGCTTATTCAATAAATGATGTACTAAAATCAGTAAATTGTATAAATTAACAAAAAAAAATTTCTTTAATTTACAATTATATAGAACATATATTTGCTACAAAATTAATTTTTTAACGTATTGTTTTTACACCTTTTTATTTTTATCTGCACAGATTTATGATTGACTAAAACTGTCAAAACATGCAAATTTGACTTTATTACAAACATGGTTTTCTCTGTACAAAAAAATTCCCAAAAATCCTATATCATGCAAATGTGATTAGCTAACTGCTTGTTTCTGAAGTCTGCACAGAGCTTGCAGTAAAATTGTAGGCATTCCTTGCATTGTTCTTATGATGAACCGCTCTGCCTTACTTTAATGTATTCTTTTTTTGTCTTGTATTGAACTGCTTATGGTTATTAAATTTTTTGTAGTATGTCTAGGGTGATCCAGGGGTTAAATGTGTGCCTAAGTATGTGTAATATGCATACAGTGTGCTGCTTTTTACTAACGATCTGTAAGATTGCTCCCTCTGTACAGAGCCCTGTGTTGATTGTCAGCACAGGGTTCTGGGCTGTGATTGGACACAGCTGATCAGCAGGTCCCAGCCATGAATCATTGGCCAGGACTTGCTGACAGTCTCCCACTGTGTGCAGTTGAGCGACCCAAACCCAGAAGGGTAGGGTAGGTAGGGAGGGGTACATCACTTTGCCTGTGTGCGCCACTCGTCTGTAGTACATTGCGGGTGGGTGGTCTGCAAGTAGTTAAAGTGGTATTTAACCTTTTGGTGCCAGCCGAACGCAAATGTGCGGCCTCTCGGCATCTGGGCCTAGACCCCGAGCGGCCGCACTTTTGCGTTCCATTAAAAAAAACATATGTGCTGAGAGCGCGTGCTCCCAGCACACACATTCAGTACTCATGGGAAGGTCCCGGTCTCCTTTTTCGATCGGGACCTTTCCCAATCATGTGACCGCTGTGACAGCTAATCATGACAGTCACATGACCCTAAAACCCCACCCCGCCTCCAGGCTTTTGGAACCCTTAAAGGGCTGGGAGGCTCCGGCGCCAAGGTGTTAAAAAAATCTATATAGGGTACATACAGTATTTTGAAATGTATTATATATATATATATTTTTTTTTTTTACTTATTTATTTTTTTTACTATATATTTATATTTTTTTATTTTTTATATATATATATATATATATATATATTTATTTATTTATTTATTTTACTATATATATACCATTTTTTTTAATTATTATATATATATATATATATATATATATATATATATATAAAAATAAAAAAATATAAATATATAGTAAAAAAAATAAATAAATAAATAAAAATATATAATATAATACATTTCAAAATACTGTATGTCTTTAAAAATAGAAATCTACATTTTTGAAATGCATTTACAAATCTATGTAAAAATATATGTTAAAATGACTTTTTTATATGTAGAAAAAATCTAAAGAATATATTTTAAAAATATATATTTTTTTTAAAAATATATTTCCTATACTTCCTATTGACCATCGCACTAATGTATAGCGAGCTGCAGATATAGTAATTATTAGCAGGGGTTCCCTGAGAAAGTTATTTCAAGGGTTACAAAGGTTGAGGAAGGCTGATCTATACACTTAAGGAGCAACTTTTACCATTCCCTATGCTTGTGGGAAGGTGCAGAGTGATGCGACGGCAGAAAACACACAAAGTCCAGGTGCAATAACAGGAATATATTATAACAGAAGTCCAGCAGATAACAAACAGGCCTGGCAGGAAGACAACCAGACCGGGAGCATTCAAAAGTTGTAAAAGCAAAGCGGCAGTAGAGTGATGACCAAAAGGTTCTGACAGCATCTGTCTCAAGGAGCAGAATGTGGCTGTCAAGGTCCTCCTTTTCCCAGAGGTTATGTTTCTCCATGTGCTGACATCCATCTTGGATTTCTGCAGAGCATGGTGGGAATCTTTTATGCCTTCAGGTCTCTGAGGTCCATCCCCCAGAGGGGTGTGGCTGATGACATATAAGCCTGTGGTCTGCACATGCTCTTTGCACTTGTGTCTTGTGTCTTTGTGTTGTTACAGCTCTGTTTATACTCTCATGACTCTCCTGGAATCTGACTCGGCTTGTGACTCGACCATTCTTTGTGTTCTCCTTTGATCTAACCCTCCATTGCTGAACCCGGCTCGTGACCTGTGTTTCTCGTCTGCTGTCCTGTACCGTTTTGTCCCGTTGTTGTCGACCCGGCCTGCCCGACTACTCTATTGTCCTTTCCACCAGCTACACGCCATTGGCAGCGGCCATTACCGCAACTGGGGTGTCTCGGGGGCCGCGACCTGGTTCCTGGCTGCGTCAAGTCCATCCCCACCATCAGGGGCCCTGATGAAGGTCAGCCTGGTACTTAGACTCTACGCCCTGAGGGACTTCGGTCTGTGGGTGGTGGTTGTCGTCAGCCAGTGCATTACATTGTTAATAGGCCTGCCTGCCCTTTCCAGCGTTCCTGTCCTGACAGTGGCCTGGCCATTCTGCACCTAAACAGGAAGGCTTCCAGGAAGGATGGCGTGTCCCTACACTTTCCCTACTTCTCCGGAACCTTTCCCTGATGCTGAGCACTATACCTGACAGACAGGTAACCTGTCCTTACACTAGACACTTGGAAATTGTGCGCCATACCTTGGAGCCAGAGTCCTAAATAGACTCTGCATGATCCAAGATGGCTGCCAGAGTCAAATGGGGGTGCCGGGATCCAATCGGATAGCTGCTTCCCGGTGTTCAAGGAAATCATAGAGTAAATAGGTCCCTCTACACTTCCTCCGCTGTAGATGAGCACCACCTGCAGTGGAGCAAGTAGACTGCTCCTGCCTACATGCTGCTCCTTTTGGAACACTTTCTCCCACAGAAACTCGGCATTTTCCTTCCCTTGCATGCCTTGATGTCTCTATTCCAGCACTTATCAAATGTCTAAAAACAAACACCAACTCCCACACAAGCAGAGAGGTCATTTTAACCGCCTCCCGCCCACCATATAAGGCGGTTCTCTCATTCTGGGAGGACATCATATGACGTCCTCCCACTCTATTCGCGCATGTGCGGCTCTGGGAACACTCAGCGCGGCGATCGGTGGTGCGGTGTGTCCCTCGGACACAGCGGATCACCAATCAACGGAAAGAGCCGAAGATGTCGGAACGGTCATGTGATCAGCTGTGTCCAATCACATGTAAATAGGGAAATGTCGGTTATCAGCATTTCTCTCTTCATGAGCCGTCACGCTGACAGAGGAGAGGAGCGGAGCGGAGAGACGGTAATCGGCATTACTGAGAGGGGACATCTACACTGATCATCAGGGCACTGATGATGATCAGTGTAGCCCCATCAGTGCCACCTGTCAGTGCAGTGTCATCATGCCAGCTGTCAGTGCTCATCAATGCCATCAATGCTACATGCCAGTGCCCATCAGTGCCACATCAATGCCACATATCAGTGCCCATCTGAGCTGCCTTTCAGTGTCACCTATCAGTGCTGCCAATCAGTGCCACCTATCAGTACCAGTCAGTGCCACCTATCAGTGCCAGTCAGTGTCGCCTATCAGTGCTGCCTAACAGTGCCAGTCAGTGCCACCTAACAGTGCCATATATGAGTGCTGCCTTTCAGTGTCCATCAGTGATGCCTGTCAATGCTCATCAGTGCCACCTACCAGTGCTGCCAATCAGTGCCACCTATCAGTACCAGTCAGTGCCGCCTATCAGTGCCAGTCAGTGTCGCCTATCAGTGCTGCCTAACAGCGCCAGTCAGTGCCACCTAACAGTGCCATATATGAGTGCTGCCTTTCAGTGTCCATCAGTGATGCCTGTCAATGCCCATCAGTGCCACCTACCAGTGCTGCCAATCAGTGCCACCTATCAGTACCAGTCAGTGCCGCCTATCAGTGCCAGTCAGTGTCGCCTATCAGTGCTGCCTAACAGCGCCAGTCAGTGCCACCTAACAGTGCCATATATGAGTGCTGCATTTCAGTGTCCATCAGTGATGCCTGTCAATGCCCATCAGTGCCACCTATCAGTTCTGCCTATCAGTGCCATATATGAGTGCTGCCTTTCAGTGCCCATCAGTGATGCCTGTCAATGCCCATCAGTGCCACCTATCAGTTCTGCCTATGAATGTCATATATGAGTGCTGCCTTTCAGTGCCCATTGCCATCTATCAGTGCCCATCACTGCAGCCTCATTAGCGCACATCAGTGAAGGAGAAAAATCACTTATTTACAAAATTTTATAACAAAAACTAAGAAAAAAATTTATTTTTTTAAATTTTCAGTGGTTTTTGGTTTGTTTAAGAAAAAATAAAAAACCCCCGAGGTGATTAAATACCACCAAAAGAAAGCTCCATCTGTCTAAAAAAAATGCTAAAAAATGTCATATGCAGGGGCAAACTGACCATTTGGAAACTCGGGCACTGCCCGAGGGCCGTGGTCAGTAGGGGGCCCCATGAGATGCCCCTGGTACCTTTTTCATAGGCTTTTTTGAGTTTGGGCAAGGACACAGGGGCCCCATGATCCCCTATTGCCCGGGGGGCCCCATGAGTTGTCAGTCCGCCCCTGGTCATATAGGTACAGTGTTGCATGACCGTGCAATTGTCATAAAGTGTGACAGCACTGAAAGCTGAAAATTGGCCTGGACAGGAAGGGGGTAGAAGTGCCCAGTTGCCCACTTCAGTCCTAGACTCAATGGGACCTACCACCCTTTTACAGGCCTACACAGATTCCAAGTCCTACTAGGCAGCACAATGATGGTGAGAATGGTCTATCCATAATCACAAACACAAGCTTTGCCGGCAATGTATTCTCTACAGGTTGGCGAATATCACATTGTAAAATGAAAATTAATTTTGGCACACCAAGGCTTGGCACTTCTAGAAACGTCTCGAAAAGTAGGTGGGCTGCAGAGCTTGCAGATAATAACCGTGCCAGGTTTCTCAATATGCCCTTCTATGTCATTAGTAATGTTCTTAATTAAAATTCCTAAAAAGAAATAATGTCAAAGGTTTCCTTGATCCATTTGCATAGTAATTAGAGATTGATTAGGCTGACGAGCTTCAGAGGACACTACACCTGCACCACCCTGTTGAGTCTTAGAATCAGTATGAGATTTGCAAAAGAACTTTAAAGCCAGTGACCCTCGATACCCCGCAGAGAAAGGGTTCATTTCAATTCCTGGCATCAACGGTGGCCAGGTTTTGGAGCTCAATCTGAAGTTCTGATAATCCTTTCTTCAATCTGCAATGCACATTGAATTCCTGTATATCCACTACTTTATATCCGCTCATGAATTCTGGATACATAATTCCATATTTTACATTGCGAGACGATGAGAGGAGTGATGAGAGGAGCACACAGATTCTGTCACATGAAAACTGGCAATCTGCTACTATAACTATGCTGCTCACAGCCAAAAAAAGGTAAAATAAATGTATGTTGCTATGGCTGTTTTTAGTGATTTGGAATAATACATTTTAGTCCATGTATTGTTTTATAAACTGGGCTTCTTCCATTCTTTTGCTAATTAACCTGTTTGACTGGTTTCATAGAGAATAGTAAAACAAGATGTGATGTTGACAGGAGATGGGGAAGGGGAAAAAGGACTTGAGCACAGTCATGAGCTGAACACAAAGGACTCTGAGAAGCAGTTTCCTGCCATCGTTTGTAGAGTAACTGTCAAGGTCCTACCTTTTCCCAGAGGTTATGTTACTCCATGTGCTAGCTTCCATCTTGGATTTCTGCAGAGCATGGTGGGAATCTTTTATGCCTTCAGGTCTCTGAGGTCCATCCCCCAGAGGGGTGTGGCTGATTACATATAAGCCTGTGGTCCGCACATGCTCTTTGCACTTGTGTCTTGTGTCTTTGTGTTGCTACAGCTCTGTTCTGACTCTCGTTACAATCCTGGAATCTGACTCAGCTTGTGACTCAACCATTCTTTGTGTTCTCCTTTGATCTGACCCCCGTTGCTGAACCTGGCCCGTGACCTGTGATTCTCGTCTGCTGTCCTGTACCGTTTCTCCCGTTGTTGTCGACCCGGCCTGACCGACTACTCTATTGTCCTTTCCACCAGCTACACGCCATTGGCGGTGGCCATTACCACAACTGGAGTGTCTCGGGGGCCACGACCTGGTTCCTGGCTGCGTCAAGTCCATCCCCACCATCAGGGGCCCTGGTGAAGGGCAGCCTGGGACTTAGACTCCGCGCCCTGAGGGACTTCGGTCTGTGGGTGGTGGTTGTCGTCAGCCAGTGCGTTACATTGTTATTAGGCCTGCCTGTCTGTTCCTCAGCTCCTGCCCTGGCACGGATATCCAGTAATCCTCTGTTCCCCGGAAGGGCTTACATACATCATACAGGCACCACCTGTCTGCAGACCTCATCTCAGTGCATCAGCTGTGCTCCTGGTTGGACCACCAACAAGCATTCCTACAGGTGACCTGTGCCACTTTGGGCCTGACTCCCACTGTCCCACTCTCAAGGGAGTCTGGAACTTAGCCGCAAGGGAAGCCCTCTCTCCATTGGCCTCTCACACCAGGTACGTGACAGTACCGCAAAAGGCTAAATTCCAAATACGGGGGAATAATGAGGAGCAAAAAGAGCCTGAATAAAAATATATAGAAAGAGACTCAAAATATCATCCTACATTGAATATTACTAATTAGGTATGTAGTCCTTGTGCCTATAAAGTCCATTTGTATTATTCCTGTTCTTTTGACTATACCTCCCACTTAGTATAAGTTTGTGCATTGTCCTGGAGAAACAGGATGCCCTTGGTGATCAAACCAATACATTTTTTTTCCAGCCGTGTATACACATCACTCAAGACAGTAATATTCACTGTTGATGGTGGCACCACGGGGTAAAAAAAAAAAACAATGCTACGTTTGTCCTAGAAAACACTTGCCATCGCTTTACATGCAGACGCAATTGTTCGAAATCTTTTTGGTGGTGGTGAGTCCACATGCTTCTACTGCTTTAATGCTCATTTTGATTCCTGAGTAAAAAGCTGTCTTGGTACCCAGCGTGTGCTAACGTTTCGAAAAATGCAAATGTTTGTGAATGATTGCGTTCACCGTTCCCTCAGGAAGATCCGTCTTTTGTGCAATTGCACAACAGGTTATGTGTTGATTATTCAGGATCGGGATTTCCACGTTCTGAATGTTCACAGGAATGACTGCTGTGGGCTGGCAACCACCATGGCCGGGATGGTCACTGATGGACGTACGGCCATCTTTGAAATGTTTCCATCTTTCAAAGGTCTTACTGCGGCTGAGTGTCTGTGACGGGAGTCACTTTGGGTGGGGGGGGGGGGGCCCATGGAACACAGCTCACTTTGGAGAGGTGGGGAGACCCCTGTCTCAGCTGCCCATATCCCTCTTATGTGTAAGTCACCCTGTGCTTGTTAGGGGTACAGGGTGAAATGTTCTAATATTGGTGTGGGGGTTGTTCATTGTTTACTGGCATGTGGTCTCATTGTTCTATTGTGTCCTGCTTGGGAACAAACTATTATGGGATGTATGTTTGTGTATTGGCTTGGTGGGGGGTGTTTCCAGCAGCCCTCCTGATGGGACTGTCTGTTGGTGTGTGTCTCTTGTTGCTAAGTATAGATTGCCCCGCCCTGTGTCATTATGCAGGGAGGGAGGATTTGTCCCCTGAGTGTATAAAAAGCCAGTTCGAGTTTCAAATAAAGAGTTCCATGTTTATACAGTCTGGGTGTCTTGTAGTCTTGTGTGGTCAGCGGTGGTGTCCGTGGATTGTGTTCGGACAGGGAAGCCGGGAGTCTAACGGAAATACCCTAGTGCAGTCGGGGTCCGGTTCCGTTACAGTATCATCATCGCACTATACTTGAAGTCTTCTGTAGATATCCATGGGTTTTATACCTTCGTTCACAAGAAACTTTATCACCACATGCTGTTTCATGCACGCACTAACAATGTTGTCTGCCATCTAGATTAATGGTCTCTGGACTGGCCCGCCTATCAGTAGTAGGACACACTTGCCACTTACTACTGCATGTAGTACCGCCACGCTACCAGCCCTTTTTATACCTGGAAAGTTAAAAGTTTGACTTGAACACCCCTCATATTTTTTTTTTTAGAAATCTTTTTGAAAAACTCCCCTTTAGCATTTCTAGCTGCGGCTATCTTGAGTAAATGATTCATGTAGCATTTACAACGTACTTCCTGGAATCCATCTGCCCTTAGCTCAAGCATGCTGCCAGGATGGTGTGCTTATCTGAGAAAGCCCATCTTCCCCTCTTCCCATAAAGACTCTTGGGATGTATGGCATCATTTTGGCCTAGGCATGAAAACAGGAAGCAACTGAGGAAATTTAAGAAGAGAAAAAAAAAATGACCCATCAAACTGTAGAGTTTGGTGATGTGAACATCAAGCAAAAAAAAAAAAAAAAAGCATGGCGACACGGATGGATAGGGGAGTTTGCTTTGAGTAATAAAAAATGAATGAAATAGCATTTTCAGTTTCTGGCGCTCAGATACAGTTCTGCTTTAATATCCAACATGCTTCTAGGTGTGACAAATACCTTGACCAGGGGCGGACTGACAACTCATGGGGCCCCCAGGCAATAGGGGATCATGGGG